CTCTCTTTTTTCTTCATTCTTTTTTTAGATTCTCTATGTTAGGGTTTCGCTGGAGAATATGATATTTTTAGTTGTTTTCATACAAAAATATAGTTATTTTCGTTACTCTTTTTAATTGATATCAGGTTCTGCTATTTGCTTTAGTCGTTTTAGTAAATAGTTGATTTAACAAATAGTTGATTTTTGATAATTGGGAGTTTTTGGAGATGCGTTGACTAAATAACTAGTTAATTTTACTATGGAAATAATATAGTTAATATAAAGTTGATTTAATAAATAGTCAAATTGATGTATAATTGTTTTAATAACAATTATTTTTAATTATAGTTGCTTTATTGAAATATATTTGTTTTAACTACTAGAGGCCCAAAAATAGTGTAAATTTTTTTATAAATATTTTTTTAATTTATTATTTTTATAAATTTTTTTTTTAAAATAAGAAATAATTAAATAAAAACAAAAATTAAATTAAAATATTAAAAAATGAAAAATATATCAAAATAGAAAGGGTAAATTTGTAATAATGCAAGAAATGAGTCTACCACTAATTAAAAAAATGGATGGACCCATACTTATTAAAACAAAGACTAGAAATAATTCTAACTAATAGCCCCATTTAATTAAAATATTAACATCAAATGTTTCATATTCACTTGTGGGCACTCTTGCACATGGAGAGAACAATATTGAAGTTATGTTTCAAATTCTTTTTGTCGGCCACCATCTACTTTAATGTAACTGAACTCTTGATGAACTGAGAAAAAAAAGCTAAAGAGCCATCTAGTATGAAATGCAGTGGAGAGCTCGTAAATGAAAACCCGTCCCTTTCTATCTCTCAAAGTTTAGTATGGTTTCTTTATCCAGATATGTGGACATATAATGATACAATTCATAAGGACAGGGGGAGAGATATGTTGCTAATGAACTATAACCGATCATTGTCATCAATTCTCGTTAATTCATTGTATGTAGCAAAATTTCGGGATGATAAACCACGACGAGGAAAAAAAAGAGGTATTTTTAAAGATTTACAATAATGTTGATATTTATGAGAATTAAATGAAATTCCATCATTATAATATGCCTCTATCTTCAACTGGACGGATCAGATCATATTACCATAGAGTTATTTGTGATTTTTTTGGTATAATGAACGCTTATTTATAAATTATTGTAATTATTATATAATAGTAATATATGAATCAATTATTTATAGAAATTACTTAATCAATCTTCAATCTTAACTACTTGTTTTGCAGAATAGAAAAAAGTCGCTATGTTATATTTTTTTGATGTTTTATTTATTGTCTTTATGTGAATGGATCCCACCGCTTCGTGAGTAGTTATTTGTCATTATCTTTTCCATCGCAAGATATTAATAATAGATCGTGAGCCTACAATATTACTGTTTTAATTGTTTCGATTTTATCTAGATTAGGGTCTAAAATGATATATTTGAGAGATGAGGGACTATAATGCAATGAAAACTAGATATGAGGGACCAACAAAGGGATTTGGCCAATGTATTTTCTCTATATTTTATTTGTAAGATCCTCCTTTATTGTTTTTATCAAAATTTATAATAGTTATTTGCAAACTACTGCATGTTGTTGTCCTTGTCAAATTATCAATACATGGTGGGACCCATGAAAAATAATGAAGAAAAGGTGGTAGTTGTATGTATGCATCCCCCAACGGCAGCAATCAAAGAAAGACGACAAAAGGATCCTTTTTGGTCTCAAATTAAACAATGCAAAGAATCACAAATCACAAGTCTGTAAATACATTTAATACTACACCTATCGCTGCACGGCTCCGCCAGCCTTTCTTTTTGATGTGTCATGTGTGGCTGCGTTTTGTCCCAAACCTATACTATACTATTATCAAAATGGAGTTGGTATCTTATGACTTATATACATGACCACTTTCCCAATAAGCTTATTAATTGGGTACTTGTTCATAAATAGATCCAGACAATAACGTGTTTTCCAAAAAAATTCACACACAGAGGTTTGCAAAAGACTAAAATAGCCTCGCATACTTAAATATGCTTAAATTTCATCATTTAATTTAATATAACCTCAATTTGACCACAATTTTCACAAATTATTCAATTTTGACCCAAAACACATTTTCATGGACAATTTCGTTCGTCACCGCCGTTGACCGTCGGTCTCCGACGTTGACTTTTTTTTCTTCCTGATTTTTCCGCCAACGGTTTCCGTGTTGACTTTTTTGGATTTTTTTATTTTTTTATTTTTATTTTTTCTTTTTGTAACATCTTTTTTTCCCCGTTTACACAACAATATTGTTGTGATTGACTGTAATATTAAATATATTATTGTTAAACACAGTAAAATTAACTATACTACAGTTTAACACAGTAATATTGCTATATGAATCTCTAGCACAGTAATATTAACACAACAAAACTCGTTATTATTGTGTAATAGAGTAATATTAATATGTTGACCGTTCAACAAATGTAAACATAATAAAAAGCCAGAAGAATAAATATTACTGTGAGTGACAGTAATATTACCGTCAACCACAGTAATATTATTGTGTTTATAATAATATTACAATGACAGACAGTAATATAATTACGTTATTCCGTAAATAAATGAAACAAAACAAAAAAACCCAAAAAGAATAATAATATTGATGTGGTTGACATTAATATTATTGTGTTTACAGTTATTTTACTGTCAACGACAATAATATAATTACGTTGACTTGTCAACAAATCAAAAAAAAGAAAAATTATAATAATATTATCATGGACTCTAATTGTACTGTCAACGGCAATACAACTACATAAATGTGTTGTCAACGGCAGTACAATTACATTAATGTACTGTTAGTGACAGTATAATTACGTTAATTTACTGTTAGTGACAGTATAATTACCGTTAATGACAGCACAATTACGGTCAACGTTTAGCGGCGGACGTTAAAAAAGAAAAATACTAAAAAACACCAAAAAAAAGTGAACGCGGCGGAAAAAAAAAAAGTCAACGCCGGAATCCGGCGGCGGAAAAAACCGACCTAGAAAAAAAATCGAAAAGTCAACACCGGAATCTAGCGGAAAAAAAATATTTTTTGAAAAAAAAAAGTCAAAATTGGACTTTTAAGGTTAAAATTGGTTAAATTGGGGTTACAATTAAGAATTGAGTGTAAATGATTGGGGATAATGTTGTCATATACATGAATTTTTTCTTTATTTATAATAAATATTAAAAGGGATGGGCTTATTGGTGAAAGAGATATAACCTCTAAACTTAGAATAATAAAAATAATTGATTATGGACTTATGCACAAAAACTGATATATATATATATATATATATATATATATATATATATATATATATATATATATATATATATATATATATATATATATATATATATATATAAAATCTTATGCGGAGTTTCATATATATTTTGTATAAAATATTCAATATATAAATATCGGCCGAAATTCATGACTAACAAAATAAGTTGGTTGGATAATTGTTTGTCAAACTTGTAAAATAAAGAACTCTTTAATTAATTGCAATGCTCAATTTATTGACCTGAAAAAGTCAGATATACAAATTGCAAAGGAAACCAAAATGCAGATTTTCCTGTGGCAAAGACTGTATACTAATTTGTGGTGCTCATAAAGCATTACATCTTAAAAGGTCAAGGACAATAAATGATCCTAAAATCCCAGCGGATACTCTTTCTTCGACAGATACTAGTCAAGTGATTTGTTAGATGCATTCAATTTAATGTACTTCGTGATTTGTGTATTAACTATAATTGATTTGCACTTTATTTCGTTACTTTTGCACATGGATTAATGCTTGTTTCTGGTTATTATTATTAATTTTATATGTTTTTGGTGTTATTAGTGAATGTGAAGGTTTACATGCATCAATGGATGAAACGGCGGAAATGTATGTGTTTGGAAGCAAAACTATCGTTTGGAGATACAATCGAAAAGTTATTTTGAAATGTTTTCCATTTTGAATACATTTCCTTCATGAGAACCCCAAATGACTGATTCAAGAAGCATTAGAAAGATAACTCGTTGGACTATAACATTCATGTTTTGAGTTTTTTTTCCAAATTTCTAAGTGTGTCAAAAGTAGGTTTTAATGTCAAATATTGCGCTGTCACTTGGTACTGGAGTATCCACTATGGATAACGCGGCATGTGATCAATTTTGGCGTAAAACGGTCATCCCCATAGTTTGTCTGCTTCTTATCCTTTTTCGATCTATGTATTCATATAGAGTTCTATTGTTTTTCGTATAAATTGTAAACCCGCTTCCTTGATATTATGCCAACTTAATTTCTTGATTATGTCTACTACTTGATTCGTTTGAATGCTCATCAAAGTAGTTAATTTATGATCTTTATATGTGAATATGACAATTGAATCGGAAATCCCATTTTGCCACATATACTTTGCTCGTTTTTGCATTTTATTTTAATGGAAAAAAATTGTGCTTCCACACATTAATCCATTATTTTAACTCACTTAACCACCTCAAGCGTATATTCAGACCAATCTTCACGTTCGTTGTTGACAGAAACTTGATCGCGTGCAAACTTGCACGATCATATGTAGAACTTGTAATTTGGATTGAAAATCATAGAAAGGGGAAAAATACCATAACGAAAGAAACATATCTTTATATGCGTATTGTCAATTATTGATCTTTTGGTTAAAATCTAGGATGCATTTTGCAGTACATCGATATTATTTAAGGGTGCACTTTTTCAATTCCAAAATTAAGAGATGCAAAATTGCAAATAGCCAAATCCATGCCTTTTTGAGGGTGTAAAACGAAATTCACCCAATTAAAACATGTTGTCTCCCGAGTGTTCCAAACATATATAGCACAATGATAAAGTTATAATATTAATAATGTTTGCCGTGTAGCCTCCGGTTCCATTATTATTATTTTTTTAATGAAGGGGCTCATCATAGTCAACACATATAGGTGCACTGAGTAAACTTACACTCTCGTATAATAACTTGCAAATCATACGAAAGACGTAAATCACACTAGGCTAACTATGTGTGACAATCTCGAAGCTAGCGACTGTTGGCAAGGAATTCGAACTTGGATCAATTAACAAAAGCTCACTTCCTCCAACCGGGAGGCCATCCCTTGCGGGACCAATTCCATTATTATTAGTTGTATATAACAAGGACGAAGGACACAACAAAACGGCAGGCGAACCTAAACTAATTAATTAGTGCCAAATTAGCTCCCGCACACACACACATATACAATCTTGTCATCTTCTTGTGCAGCTTCAGAAAAACACACACAAACACACACACACAGAGTTATAAGGATCGATGGTGATGAGAAAGGATTTGGCGACGGGCATGAACGCGAGAACGATAGGTTCGGGGAAAGGAACGATAGTTCTGGCACATGGCTACGGCGGAGATCAGTCGATTTGGGACAAGATAGTGCCTGAGTTGGCTGGAAGCCACCGCGTGCTTGTGTTCGACTGGTGTTTCTCCGGTGCCGTGAAAGATCCAACGTTGTACGAACCGGCAAAGTACGGTTCATACGATGGTTTTGCAGATGACTTAATCAGTCTTATTGATGAGTTACTAATTAATAAGGTGGACGAATCTTCATCATCTTCATCGTCATCAGTATATTTTGTGGGGCACTCAATGTCAGCTATGATTGGATGCATTGCTTCCCTCAAAAGGCCTAATCTCTTCCAAGGCCTCATCCTTGTTGGAGCTTCTCCCAGGTCATCATACATATCATCATTATTCCGTCTCTAAATCTATTTATTTTTTGTTATATTCGAATCAAAAATATGTGGAGATAGAGAGTTGAAAAGTCAAAGATTGAGGGGAGTTCCTAGAGAAGCAAAGTATAAATTAAAGATAATTAGGAAATATATTATAACAAGTAAAATAATTATTAAATTTTTTTGAGGCACTGGTAATAGATGGTCCCCCTGCCAACCCGATGAAGGCCACTAGCATATTATTGATTTATACAATATTCATATCCGTTAAATTAGTTATTACCAACTATATATATGTGTGTGTGTGTGTGTGTGTGTGTGTGTGATTTTTTATTTTTTATTTTTTATTTTTTTTTGAGATGAGTGTGTGTGTGTGTGTGTGATTTGATTATTTTGTGAAGTTCAAGAGTGTAAATTAATGTAGCATAAATCAAATTTGAGATAGTAACTAATAAGTATTTTATAAATACAAGAGATAGTGCTTAATTTCCATGGGTGCCCTTCATCTTCCTCTTCTGCTACTCAATTTGTTTTGCCTAAAATACATACAAAGAGCTATAAGGGCACTGATTCTTTGAAGAAAACTCAATAATACTTGGGTGAATTATTATTCTGAAGAATATTTATAGTTTTTAAATGTGTATAGACTACAGAGTGAGTTGTTATACCTGTTCTGGTGGACTTTTGCTTATTGAGCCTTTTTTTGGGATTTTAGAATCAACATTAAATTAAACTAAATGAACAAATTAATGCGCCAAAAATATTCAACAGTTATATATATATATATATATATATATATATATATATATATATAATTATAGTTTGTTAAATAAAATATTATTCATTTTTAATACACCACATGTGAGATATTTAATCAAATATATTTATTTAATTCATTTTTAGCAAGATATAATTATCATTATTTTTTAAATATTATGAAGTAATTTTATACGAAATTAATATTCAGTTAAAACATAAATGAAAAATTATATTAAAGTACAGCTGAAAAACATAATTGATATACGAGGGTTCTACCGAGGATTGAATATATAGACAGATAACCACCAGGTTTATAATAGGACCCAATCATAAATGTACAACATAATTTAAAAAAAAAGTATATTATATTTTTGTTTCTCCTATCAACAAATTAACAAGATTTTGTCAAGACTAACAACAATTTGATGGTGTTGCAGATTCATAAACTCTGAAGACTACGAAGGGGGGTTTGAGATGTCAAACATAGAACAACTATTTTCAAGCATCGAATCCAACTTTGAAGAGTGGGCTACAAACTTTGCTTCTCTTGTGGTTGATTCAAGTGACCCTCTTTCGATTGACAAGTTTGAAAAGTGTTTGAAAAAAATGAGACAAGAAGTTGCACTTTCATTGGCTAAAACTGTTTTCCTGAGTGATTGTAGGGATATTCTTGATAAAGTTGTGGTACCTTGTCACATCATTCAAACTAGAAACGACGCCGTTGTACCAAGCTCCGTCCCGAAGTACATTCAGACCAAGATTATGAATGGAAAATGCCACGTGGACATTATCGACACAGATGGTCATTTTCCTCAACTCACTGCTCACACCCAATTTCTTGAGGTGCTTTTTAGAATTTTAGTTTCTTAATTAATTCATTTATGTTTGTTGCCTTTTCAGTTTGATTGGCATACCATACCAACTTATTTTGTGTTATATAAGCGTTGGTTTGATGATTTGTGCAAGCTTTTCTGGTTTTCTTTGGTTTGGATGTTTGATTGTAAGATTATATTGTGGTTTGACGATATTGTTGATTTTATATATAATAAATGTATGGGTGGAATATTGCAAAATGTCCTAGTTTAACAACGATCTTTACTTGAAGAAATTTGAAAAATCTTTATATTGAAAGTTGGATTCTATTATCATCCTCTACATTACAGAGCAACAATATATATAAGAGAGGTTACAAAATAGAAGATTATAACCGATAAATATTAGCCTACATATCTAACTTCAATTTTCTATCTAAAGGTGTAGACGTTGGATTAGTAGACTAACATACCAACATCTTGAAGTAAATCGGTAACGTATTTACGTTGATTAATAAAGAGCACTTTGCCGGAAGTTATCATCACAATGCCAAGAAAAAAAATCAAGGAGCCGAGGTCTTTAATCGAGAATTGATTATGATGATTCTTCTTTAAGCAACCAACCGCATCAGGATTGTCTACAATGATAATTAGATCATCGACGTAAATAAGCAACATCATTTTGTCAAGCTTCCCAAGTCAGCCATATTGAAACACGCACATTTTGTTTTTAACTTTCCTATTTTCTAACTAAATTTTAATTATTGAATAAGTAGTGCTTAGTGGGCTAAGTATAATACTTAGTGGGCTAAGTAGTGCTTAGTGGATTTAATTGTGGATATTATCCTAACTCCTTAAACTAACCCACTAACCCATGTTCTTGAGTGCTCTTGTAGTTGGTTTTCTTGCAGATCATGGGCTGAGGAGTGGAAGCTTGAAATGTCTATAAATACCGATTTCAATACTCAATGAAATTGATCGATTCCGAAGAATTAAACACCGAGAGCTGAAAAGAATACATGAGTGTTTTAGTGTGTTTTTAGGATCGGTTGGTTGTACTCCTCATGAGTACAATCTTTACGTACTCCTTATGAGTACATTCTTTACGTACTTCTCATAAGTACATTCTTTGTAGTCTAGATTGTTTAGTATATATTTTTCTAGACTTGGTTGTAAGAATGATCAAGATAGTGATTCATTCATAAGTTCTTTACGTACTCCTCACGAGTACATCTTTGAAATCTAGAATTTTTAATATTTTTCTTTTAGTATCTAGATTTGATTGTAAGAATGATCATGAGAATGATTCATTCGTAAGGAAGAAGTTTTCGCACCTCTTCCGTTTGTATTCTTGGAATACTGATTTGAATATATTTTTTTCGTCCTGTAAAGGGCAAGTTCACAAGTCTTTACTTGTGAACATTTTTTAATTCTGAGTATTGTTCTTTTGTTTTTATATTTCCGCTGCATGTTTGGTTAAGTGTTATAACACTTAAGACAACACCTCTGTATTAAACGAATTCGGGACCATAAATTCTTTCAATTGGCATCAGAGCCAACACTTGACTTATACTAAGTGTTTGTTCCTATTTTCTTTCTCAGAAACGAATTCGTGATGGATACTCAGATGACTGCTTCTATGCGACCTCCTGTACTCGACGGCACAAACTACACCTACTGGAAAGTCAAGATGAGGGCGTACATCAAAGCCATTGATGAGAGAGCCTGGAGATCCATTCTCACTGGATGGAAGCCTCCAACTATCACAGATGCGGATGGAGATGTGTTTCCAACACCAGAATTACGGTGGACACCAGACGATCTATCAAATGCTAACCAAAACTCAAAGGCGTTAAATGCGATTTTTAATTCAGTAGATTTAACAATGTTTAAATTGATCTCAGTGTGCACTTCTGCGAAGGATGCTTGGGAAGTTCTTCAGCTACATTGTGAGGGATCAGACAGTGTCAGAAGAACTAAGCTCAGATTACTCTCTTCCAAATTTGAGAGACAGAGAATGGAGGAAACTGAAACAATTTCTCAGTACAATGAGAAATTAATTGATTTAGCTAATGAATTCCAATCCTTAGGTGGTCCTTTGAGCAATGAGACACTGGTGATAAGGTATTAAGAACTCTTCCAGAAAGGTTCAGCATGACGGTTACTGCTATTGAGGAGGCTAAAGATACATCATCTCTACGGCTGGACGAATTAATTGGTAGTCTAAAGTCTAGAGAGATGAACTTTGAAGATCAGAGAAAGGAGAAAGGAAAGGCTATCTCAAATGCACTCCAGGCAGAATTAGAGAAGGAAGATGTTGCTCCAGAATATGATGATGATGCAGAGGAATGTCTCAACAATGTTGCATTCCAAATTCAGAAATTTAATAGGGCATACAGGCGAAGTGGAATCAAGCCCTGACAATTATTTCCAGATGGCTCTCCACAGAATCGACAAACTCAGCCCCGGAACAGATCTACTCCACAGAGAACATTTCCTCAAACATCTTCTCAGAACACTTTAAAAAATCCTTCATTTGTTCGTTCAAATTCTGAACCACCTAACTTGGATCACATTAAATGCAGGGCTTCTTCAGGATTTGGACATTATGCTAATGAATGTGCAAATACCTTGAGAAGAAGAGGAATGAGTTTGATTTGTGCTGTCAGTGATGAGGAGGAAGAGCAACCTGAACAGACAGAGGAACAGCAATCCACTAAACAAGCTCTCTCTGTCAGATATATCATTGGAAATGCTTCTGAAACAGAATCACAAGGAGTTTCTCTGGATGCTGCAACACTTTCTGAAACACTTTCAGTAACTGAAATTTCTGAGTTAAATACTGATCATTTTACATGTTTAAACTCTATTTCTTTAAATGCAGCAGAATCCAGTATTGAAGCAGCTAGTGATGAGGAAGAAATGTGTAAGAGATTGTTCAGTGACTTTGAGAAGAAGACTCAAGCTCTAGATGCAGCCAACAAGGAAAATTCTTCCCTTAAAGAAACAATCACACATTTGGAGGTTGGTATCACCAAGAATGATCTTGAACTGGCAAAGGTGAAAGATGAACTCAAAGAAGCAACTCTAGCAATCAAGAGGATGAATACCGGCACAACTAAACTCGAAGAGATTGTGTCACTGGAGAAGTACAACAAGAATGAAGGTCTAGGGTTCAACAAACAAGTGAAGAAACACAAGCCAGTAAAGAAGAAAGAAATTGTCTTTGTAAAAGAGAAGGGTTCAAATGGAAAAGAATGCAGGAATTCCACAATCACCACTCCAGAGTCCAGAATAAGAGAATACATTTGTCATTACTGTTTCTCACCGGGACATATTCGTCCATTTTGTGAAAAACACAGTAGTGATAAAATGTTGTACAGAATGAGTCACATCACTCCAGGCAACACCTTAAAGAAAAAGGTAGAATTTACCAAAAAGGAGTGGAGAATATGGACTCCCAAAGGTAAACTTATGTGCAAAGCAGTATACACTTCTTTAAATGCTAACATTTCAGGTTCGTGGTACTTTGATAGTGGATGCTCTAGGCACGTGACTGGAACAAAAGAACTCCTATCAAACTACCATACACTCAATGGAGGACGTGTAACCTATGGAGGAGGAGCTAAAGGCAAAGTGGTTGGACGTGGAACACTCAGCATTGAGGGACTTCCAAAACTTTCAAATGTCTTACATGTTGAAGGATTGGGGTCAAATCTCATCAGTATTAGTCAATTGTGTGATGATGATCTACGTGTTCAATTTGATAAATACTGTTGTTCTGTGTTTGATAATCAAAATCATTGTGTACTGACAGGTTCCATGTCAATGGATAATTGTTATCAAACAGGTGACACCATCTCATGCAAGAGCTCAAGAGTAAGTGAAGTAGAGTTGTGGCACCAAGAACTAGGGCACACAAACTTCAAAAATCTGAAGCTGCTCAACAAGTACAATGCCATAAGAGGAATTCCAGATCTCAAGATCAAGGACATTCCTATATGCGGAAAGTGCCAGAAGGGAAAGCAAACTAGAGTACCACACAAAGTGTTACAACACGTTGGTACCACCATTTGTTTTGAACTTGTACATATGGACCCTATGGGTCCTATAGAGGTAGAAAGCCTAGGTGGTAAGAAATTTGAATTTGTGTGTGTTGATGATTTTTCGAGATATACTTGGGTGTATTTTTTAAGAGAAAAATCAGATCTAGAATACATGCATGTGTTTGGATGTGTTTGCTATGTCCTAAATGATAGAGATCATCTAGCTAAATTTGATTCAAAAAGTGATTTGAGTTTATTTGTGGGATACTCTAATAACAGTCATGTATATAGAGTACATAACTTAAGAACTCGAACCATTATTGAATCTGTAAATGTGGTATTTGATGATTTTGTTGATCTCCGCAGTAAAACAGCTGACGATGAAGTTGATGACCTGATTGCTGGAGGAGAAACAACCAGAGGAGACTCTACTGCCACAGATGCTCCAGATATAAACAGTCCAGTGTCAAGAGAAGAAGGTGTTGAGCCGAGTGTTACCACATCTGACTCAATACTTCCTACAGAGAGCACAGAAGCTGAAGTGCAGCCAACTCATGATGTCTGCAGAAAGGAACCATCAAGTAGAATCCATAAAAATCACCCCTCTACTCAAGTTGTGGGAGATATCTTTGATGGGATAAGGACCAGAAGAAAAGAGAGAGTGAATTACAGAGACATGGTAAGATTTGCAAATTTATCTTCTGAATGTGCACTAACTGGAACTACTTGCTTTGTGTCTTCAGTTGAACCAAGGAATATTGCAGAAGCTCTGAAGGATGAATTCTGGATCAATGCAATGCATGAAGAACTGAATCAGTTCATCAGAAATGATGTTTGGTACTTAGTTCCCAGACCAAGCCATGTAAATGTGATAGGAACTAAGTGGATTTTCAAAAACAAAACTGATGAAAAAGGTACAGTGGTTAGAAATAAGGCTAGGTTAGTCGCACAAGGTTATACTCAAATTGAGGGTATAGACTTTGATGAAACTTTTGCTCCAGTAGCTAGAATTGAATCTATTAGGTTACTTCTTGCTATAGCCTGCTTTCTTAAAATCAAACTGTATCAGATGGATATCAAAAGTGCATTTCTGAATGGGGTTTTAAATGAGGAAGAATATGTAGAACAGCCCAAGGGTTTTGAAGATTCTGCCAAGCCTAATCATGTTTTCAAGATTAAGAAGGCACTGTATGGTCTTAAACAAGCTCCTA